CGACCGCAGTCCACGGCTACCCGCCCGAACCGAGTCCAGCCAGAAGCCAAAAATGAAAAGCAAAAAAAAAAAAAAAAACCGGAGGGCCTGCTACCAGTACCTGCTCCCAGGCCAGGCCACGGGATAAAGGGAGGTACCACTAGCCCAGGCCACCTCCCGTTTTTTCCAATTATGAACCTGTAGGCCGTCGAACACATAGTTTACTGTTTTTTTGCTGTTTCGAACTGCTCACGGCCCAATCTTGCAGTGGACTGTTATTTCTGCGAATTCTGAACTGCGCAGCAGTCACAGGCGCAGTTTTTTCAAGAATAATCCAGGCTACAGTCTTCCCTCGAATACAACGCACGGTCATTATAGCTGAATTTGGTGTATCTTTCAGTCTACATTCAGCTATAATGACCGTGCGTTGTATTCAGGGGAAGACTGTAGTGGGACCTCGCCCCAGGTATTACCTATTTTTTACTATCCATGGGTAAAGAGTGTTCATTCCCTATGGTTTTCACCCAAATAGAATGCACAGTCATCATTGTTGTATCCAGACTGAAAGCTGCCCCAGATACAGCTCTATCAACTGTGTGTTCTATTCAGGTGAGGAGTCTTCGCTGATCATAGCATATCTTCTTTGTAAAAACATCTTTTTTTTTCTCTTTTTGAAATAAGAGGCCTATCTGTGTAGTATTTGGGGTGATAAAAAACATAAGGACATTCCCAGTTTTGGGCTATTCCTGGGTTATATTGCTACTTTTTTTTCCTGCCGCCCAACTGCATGCAGTAGATTGATAGCAAGGGGGGCAACCTTGAGATATATCCACAACTGACCGGCCCAATCAGCAGGTATTATTAGATCATTCAGCCGGGGTCACCGTCAGACTCCTCACCCCTGTTGTCACGCATCAGTTCCGTCTGTCTGTCATCTTTCTTTTTCCTTTTTCCCTTTTCCTTTTTTTTTTTTCATTTAAAAAACTCACTTGAAACGAGGCCGGGGACCTCACCGGAGTTATCCCGGCAGCATCAGCCGGTTTCGCTTCAGCTCAAGAACCTAATTACAAGATGCATACCCAACTCCCCTCCTACTTCAGTCTAGTACTCCTACCTATCCTGAAGTACCCCTAACTTCCACTTCACAGACCTGGGAGCCGGTCCGAACTCGGCCCAAAACGACCAAGAGGAACCCCTGTTCCTTTTTGGTAACTGGTGCCAACTAGCAGATCGTTGCAGTGCCGCTCATCGACACTAAACTACTATCGAATCATGCTCAGTTGCCTAAATCGGCAGTGTTCCTTTCTGCCAGGATCCAAATAGACGGCTAAACCTTAGCAATTAAAACTAGCCTATAGGCTCAATGACTAGAAATTGGGAAGGAAGAAACAAGCATTAGGGTTACCCTCTCGTCATCGCTATCCAAAACGCTGTAAAGAGCCTTTGTTGCAATCAGACTTGTTCTCAAACACACTTTTTATGCATGTAAACAGCAACGCAGCATACTGGCGACATGCGCCCACTCAAAGACTCGGAGATATGGCTTTCAGATACGAGTTCACTCTCAATTAGCTATGGCGACTTCAGCGCCCAAACATCTCACTGTTCACATACACGGGATCACCCTGGATATCCCACACGCATCACTCTAACACTCGAACACACACACACACTCACTACTAACTACAGCTATGGCAGCTCTCGCTGCATCTAACCTATCGCTAGACTAACTCCCTCTCTCTTGCCCACTACGTCCTCCGGGCACATCTGCAGATCTCCTTGCACAAGTCGCTGTGGCAGCGCTTCCGCATGGCTCACGCAGGAATGAGTCAATGGCTGGGCGCTGCCTCTTGATTTATACTTCAGAAACTCGTTGGTCTGCCCTTTGCCATCGGCCCTTGGTGCTTACAGTCCCCCTGTGGTACTTGCTGGACCGRACTGGGACTGACTGGACCTTCTGCTGACTGACTGTGGACTCACCGCCATCCTACCCACGTTGTACTGCCGTTGCACTGCGGTTTAGTCCACCACTTGCCTCGCCACTTGACCACTTGCCCACTTGCCTACCTTCTAGAAGGCCTACAGCTAGGCTTCCCGACTCACTAAGACTTCTACGCTACAGATCTACAGATCGAACCCCTGCTGCCTCTGGACCTACGACAGACCTACCAGCTGTCTACGAATACACAGGTCACAGGTTCAACTCCCGGGGTCCACACAGATACTGTACATGGGTAAGGTGAGGTTTAGGGATCGAACCCTGGGCACTTCATCCGCTACTGCTAAAGGTGAAAACCGTTTCACTCCCGCCGTCCTAAATTCGAGGTCCTCCGAGAACATCTCAGTCCAAGGCGAGACCTTTACCTTTCTTCTCACGTTCATAGGCTCTGACTATGTCGGGAGCGGTCTCTAGAAGTTCTGTCTTTGTGAACCAGCGGTCGTCTTCCGGTTCCTGATAAGCAAACCGGACYTTATAYTGTTTCTGGGGACGACCTCTACCTCCTGTCCTAAACACATCCTCTTCTACAATGCCCTCTATGTCATARCTYCCATCCATATCCGGTGGRATCATGGATCTCCTGGAAGGGAACTGTTGACTAGTGACACATGGCAGCAGCTTTGAAGCATGAAACACAGGGTATGTGTGGAGGTGTGCTGGAATCTCAATGCTGTAGGACGGTCCATCCTCCCCGCCTTTAACTTCTAGAACCGGCCACGGTCCTCTATATGCGGGCAGTAACTTCTGTGAGACGTTTTCTTCCGGTGCAAATTCTTTTGCCTTGACCCAGACTAAGTCGCCTACTTGAAACTGTGATGGGCGACGGTGCTTGTTAGCCTGCTCTATCATTCTGTGCTGGGCCTTCCGAAGGTTCTCAACAACAGTGGCTAATTCCTTTTCGTGCTGTATCGCAAACTCCTTCGAACGGCCTGCGCGGTCTAAAGGACTTGTGCAGTTCATTGGGAGTGCGGCAGGTAGATAGGTGCACGCTGTTGTTGTATGCACTAGCGACCTTGGGCAACATCTCATCCCAGTTGATCTGATCTGGTCTAATATACATGCGCAGAACTTGCTGTAGGATCTTGTTCATATGTTCTGTCTGAC